CTCTTAGACTTTATTCCATTTTTTTTCATTCTTTTTTTCCAATTATTCTTCTAGCATACTAGTATTGAGAGATTTCTCTTCAAGCTCTCTAATTCAGGTTTCCATTACTTTGAATCTATTGCCCTTTCAATGTACTGTCCATTTCTGAAATCTTAGTATGACTCTTCTGGTTTTCCAGTTGCAGGTTTTGTATTGTTTCAAATTTTGCATTAATTTAGTGTTTTCTCTTGTAGGGTTTTCCTGAATTCTTCTAAAGTTTTTGTTGTGTTCTCCTTGCTTTCCTCAATCTTTCTATTAATACTTTGAAGGTACCTAATTATTCTTTTGAATTCTTTTTCAGTTAGTTCTAGTACCTTTTCTTCCTCAGAAGCATCTTCTAGCTCTGCACATTGGTCATTTGTTTGAGGCTTACTCTCTTATTTCTTCATGTGAGCTAAAATTGTCTGTTATCTCAGGGGCATTGTGAGGTTGTTGTGTTTGTAAAAACAAGCAGTGCAGTTGATGGATCCTGAGGGGAGAAATATCTGGGGTGCTTCTGTAATTCAAACTGCTCATGAGGTGGGTGTGGGAGGCATGTGACAGCAGAGTTCCTGGCCCTAGATGGAGCTCCTGTTGACCTTGGTGTTAGCTATGTTCAGGGCACGCATTCTGGAAGTAGTTCCTGGGAGCCTTTGATGGAGCTGGTTTCAGTGTGTGTTGGGACCACAGGGAAGCTGGGAGCCCTGTGACTGGTTAAATTGCTAGTCTTGTGGCTCTGTGGGCTCTGTAGGTCTAGAGGTGAGACCAACTGAATCCAGACACCAAAGCAGCACAGCCCCCCACCTCACACTACCGTGGCTTCCAACCACGTAGCTCTGAACTCCTGAGAGCAGGGTCTGTGCTGTGGGTAGATGAGGGTGGGAGCTGCCCACACTTATGGTCACCAGCGGAATGTGGAGGAAAAGAAGAAATTGCACCTTTTCTGTTGCCCGCACGAATTTGCTCTGCCAGCCCTCCTTCCACTGTCAAAGTTGCTGACAAGCTGATTGAGCTACATGTGGCCAGCCATTAACCAGTCAGTCTCCCTCTCTTGCTGTCCCTGGTGGGTCTTGCCTCCCAGCAAACATTCCTTCGCCTCTCTAACCTTTCTTCTAAAGTTCAGGGTGCCAGAATTTTCATTTGAGTCTGTTTTATTTTGTCTTTCATGTCTTTGTTGTAGGGAGTCCACTTAGCTAGTTTGCCTAGTCCACCATCTTGCCAGAGTGGATTTTTGTTTTCTTTTGTTGAGGTGTAATCCATACTTAAGTAGTCTCTGATCTTTATTAGTAGTAAGTGCTGTAACTATTTTTGAATTATGTTCATCAAAATCTGTTAGCGTAGTGGTTATGAATCAGGCTGCTAATATCAAGGTCAACAGCTTGAAACTACCAGCAGTTGCACGGAAGAAAGATGAGGCTTTCTGTTCCCTTCAGATTTACAGCCTCAGAAACCCTATACAGGGTTGCTATGAATTGGCACATTACCACCACCACTACTACCACAGCCACATGATATTAATGATTTTGTCTGATAATATGTGCATTCAATTGGATCATCATTCTTAGGCAGGGGCACAAATATGGATCTCTTCTAATTGGCCCAGTAGATGCCTTCCAAATTTCTTGTCATACACCAGTATGTGCTTCCAGCATTGCAGAAGTTTGCTGTTATATCTCAGCTGGTATTCTGTCAATTCCTCGAGCCTTGTTTTTTGCTAATGTTACCAGTGCTGTTTGGACTTCTTCCTTCAGTACTATTGGTTCTGGATCATATGCTACCTCCTGAGGTGGTTGTACTCATTCTTTTGGGTATGTTGTTGTTGTTGTTGTTGTTAGGTGCTATCCAGTTGTTACCGACTCATAGCGACCCTATGCAAAGCACACTGCCCGATCCTGGGCCAGCCTCACTACTGTTGCCACGCTTGAGTCCTTCAATGCTGCCACTTGGCCAATCCATCTTATTGGGGGGTCTTCCTCTTTTTTCTGATATCCTCCTCCAAACATGATATCCTTCTCCAGCTACTGGCCCTCCTGACAATATGTCCGAAGTATGAGAGACAAAGTTTGGCCATCTTAGCCTCCAAGGAGCACTCTGGCTTGCAGTTTTTCCAAAATGGATCTATTGGTTCTTTTGGCAGCCCATGGCACTTTCAGTATTCTCCTCCAACACTGTAACTCAAAAGCATGCATATGAGGTTATTGAAAATACCATGGCTTAGGTCAGGCACACCTTAGTCCTTGAGCTGACATCTTTTGGGTATGGTGACTCTGTATTCGTCCCATCTTCTTTTGATGCTTCCCGCATTAGTCAATATTTTGTTCATAGACTTGAGGCTTGAATCTTTTCTTCAGTTTTTTCAACTTGAAAAATGCTAAGTGTGTTCTTCCATTTTGTTTTTAACTCTATGTCTTTGCAGATTTCATTATAATACTTTGTTTTCTTTAGCTGCACTTTAAAAATCTTCTGTTCACCTCTTTTACTTCATTTCTTCTATTTGCCTTAGTTACTGTATGTTCAAGAGCAAGTCAGACTCCTGCTCTTTTTGTTATTGTTAAGTGCTGTGGAGTTGGTTCTGATTCACAGCCACCCTGTAGAGGCTTTCTGAGGCTGCAAATGTTTGAGGGAGCAGGGAGTTTCATCGCTCTTCCAAAGAGTGGCTGGTGGGCTTGAACTGCCGACCTTGTGTTTCACAGTCCAGTACTTATTCTACTGAGCCCCTGGGATCCCCAGACTCCTTCTGTTGTTAAGTGCCGTTGAGTCAGTTCTGAGGAGCGCCTGGTAGGTTTTGAATCACAGACCTTGCAGTTAGGAGCCCAGTGCTTGTCCTACAGCACCACACCAGGACTCCCCAGACTTGTATAGATTTGCATGTATTGGTTACTAAACCATTTGCCAGTAAGTCTTCTCTGCCTCATGGAATCTCCATGTATGTCAGATCAGAACTGCCCTTTAGTGGCTTTTCAAGTCTATATGGTCTTTGGGAAGCTTACCTACAAGCCTGTCTTCTGAGGCGTCTCTGGTGGGTTCAAACTTGCCAACCTTTTGGCTCATAATAGAGTGTTTAACGGAGTCCTTGTTTGGCACGATAAGACAAGCACTGGACTGCTAACCACAAGGTTGATAGTTCAAACCCACCGGCTGCTCCTTAGAAACCCTACATAGGGTCGCTATGAGTCAGAATTGACTCAAAGGCAATTAACAACAACAGAGTGCTTAACCCTTTGTGTTTCACCTACTACCAGAGATTAGATGTCATTCCTCTGAGTCTACAAGTTCTCCCAGAGCTGTTTAAGCTTGGAACCACCATCCCTGAGCCCAAGGCTAGGGCTCCCTGCTCTCTACCAGCTATTCCTGCACAGCTGATGAGGATGCCCTGGGATCAAAGAGAGGGGACAGATGGCAATAGGTTTCCACAGTCACTCACCCTCCTAAATATATTGAGCATCTACTGTGTGCTGATCACTTGGAACACAGAGAGGAGCCAGGGTAAGCGGAGAAGATGGACAAGCACAGGGTAATTGACAAGTCAGTGGTGGTCGACTCAGAGAAGGAAAATCCACCTAAGTGGGCCATGGGGATTTAGAGCCGGCCAGACAAGGAGATAGAGGGAGCACAGTGGGCTCTCTAGGCAATCCAAAGAGTCCCAGGAAGTGGTAATTATGTAGATTGACTGAGATCCACCGAACAAGAGGGCCTGTTGAGGCTGGAGAGAGACATGCAACAGAGAAATCCTGTGGTAGCTTCTAAGCCAAGATGAGTTAAGGCCTTGGTGATCTTGTAAACAAAGTATATTAGTTCATATATGTTTTCCTTTCTTCTGGTGGTCTTTTTTATATTCTTTATGATACAATGATTTTTTAAAAAAAATGTTTGTTGTTATTGTTAAGTGCCGCCGAGTTGATTCCGACCCATAGTGAACCCTGTATAGGGTTTCCGAGGAGCAGCTGGTGAGCTGGAACCACCAACCTTGCAGTTCAAACGACTTTGCTGTCTGGCGCATTAACCCACAGCGCCACACTTTACTGTTGTTGGAAATATATACAGTACACCAATTCAGCAATTTCTCTGTGTACAGTTTAGTGGCACTGATGATATTTGCATTGTGTTGCCTATGGTTCTCAGCCTCCTGTTCTGAATTGTTCCTCCCTCATTAGCACCAACTCACTCCCCGCTAAGGTTCCTGCCTAATCTTTCAAGTTGTTGTCCGTTTTATCCCATATGGAAAATTCTTAAAGGATCAGTAGGTTTATCTTTTCAATTTTACCATGCTTATGTGACTATTGGAATGATTTCCCAAGAAGCCACACAGGTCAGATTGACATAAGAACTGGTGAAACCAAATTGTCATCAAGTCAACCCTGCTTCATGGTGACCCCTGTCAGAGTAGAACTGTGTTTCATAGGATTGTCAGTGGCACACTATCTGGACGTAGATTGCCAGACCTTTCTCCCAAGGCGTCTCTGGATAGAGTTGAATTGCCAGCCTTTTGTTTAGCAGTCTAGCATATTGACCCTGTGCACCATCCAGAGAGTCCAAGAAGGGGAGTAGAGGTGGTATTCTGAGAATGCACTTCCCCTGCCTCCCCTAGGGGTCCTGGTTGGGTGTGGTGGGGAGGGGAGGGGGCGAGTTGTACTGGCTCAGAGTCTACACAGTGGGTGCGGCTGGTACTCTGTTCCTGGGAGAAGATGTCAGCTCTGTGGGTTTTGATGTCCCAGCCCAGTTTGACTCTTCTCTGGAGCGTGCTTCCAAAGGGCTGCCTGACCCACTCAGACCTACAGAAGAGGATTCAGAACGTTGATTCTGACACTTTGGGATGCTCTGTGTGTGTGTGTCTGTGTGTGGAGAGAGAACGTATTTCAGAGCTTTGATAGTCTGGGGTTGTGTGTGGATCCACCTGATTAACCCCTTCAACCTCGCAGCCAGCTTGTTGACCAAGTGGGCCTGGAACAGTGTCTGGCAACCCTTTCTGTGTCTGGTTGCAGGAAACATCGAGTACAGCTGCCCTGCCACCAACGAATGTGAGATCACGAAACGGAGGCGCAAGTCCTGCCAGGCCTGTCGCTTCATGAAGTGTCTCAAAGTGGGGATGCTGAAAGAAGGTAAGAGGCCCACTGGCTTCTCAAGTGCCCTCATCCTGGGTGGCGCCAACCAACGCTTGGACGCTTGAGGGGAGGGGGACTGATGGCCTGGGTCAGACCCACTGAGGCTTAGGGGGATAGGTCTGCAGCCTGGGTGACATCCACTGAAGCTTGTGATAGGGCTGGAGGTCTGGGTGACGCCCACCTTGGTTTCCTGGTTTCAAGAGCCTTCCCATTTGGGAATTTCAGATGTGACAGAATACCAGGCAGGGTATGGCCTGCTCCTAGGACATTTACTGGTTTGCTTCTCCGTACACCAGAGGACTTGGGGTATAACGACATTAAGGCACAGAAAGGTTTAATAATCCTATATGAGGTCATCACTTAACAACAACAACCACCTGCAAAGGGCAGCTTTGTGTCCCCATAGGTGGACATCTGTCTCCTAGGACAGAAGTGAACAAGCTCCTACTTCTCCTGCCTCCTGGCTCCCCAACTCCTCCTCTCCTCTCCTTCCTTTTTGCCTCTCTTTTTGCAGTACTTGAACTGCACTATCCAGTATGGTGGCCACAGTGTGGCTTTTGGGCACTTAAAATGCAGCTAGTCCGAGTGTCGATGTTCTGTAAGCATGCTGGTGCAGTGGTTAAGTGCTCAGCTGCTAACCAAAAAGCTGGCTGTTCAAACTCACCCAGTAACTGTGCAAAATGACTGTCCATCTACTCCTGTAAACATTACCATACCCAAACTCTTTCCACCCAGTAGAATCCTGGGTGCCAGGAGTGGGATATGAACCCCATAGCGACCTTATGGTTGTTGTTGTTAAGTGCCGTCAAGTCAGTTCTGACCCATAGCAACCCTGTACAGGGTTTCCAAAGCTGTTAATCTTTACGGGAGCAGAAAGCCTCATCTTTCTCCCACGTAGTGGCTGGTAGTTTCGAACTGCTGACCTTGTGGTTCACAGCCCAATTCGTAACCACTACGCTAGCAGAACTCCTTTAGCGACCTTATAGGACAAAGTTAAACTGACACATAGGGTTTCCGGGGCTATACATCTTTAAGGAGTAAGACACTTGTGGCTCGAATCACTGACCCCATTACTGTTTAACCCACAGTGCCACCAGGGTTCCTCTGTAAATATTACCACCTAGAAAGCCCTATGGGGCCGTTTTGTGCTGTCACATGGGCTTGGGAGTTGAAATAGACTTGACGGCATCGAACAACAATTGTTGTTGTTGTTAAGTGCTGTCGAGTCTTTTCCAACTCATAGCGACCCTGTATAGGGTTTCCAATAAGCAGCTGGTGAGCTTGAACTGCCGACCTTGTTGTTCAAACTGACCTTGAAGTCCAGCACATTTAACCCTCAGCACCACACCAAGACTCCTGGAACAGTAAAAAAGACGTGTAAAATATGCAGTGATAATTTTTTAAATGATTGCATGCTGAGTTGGTAATATTCTAGCTATATTGTTGTTAAGTGTCGTCAAGTCGATCCCGACCCATAGCATCTCTGTATAGGGTTTCCAAGGAGTGGCTGGTGAGTTTGAACCACCATTCTTGCAGTTCAAATGGCTTTGCAGTCTGGCACATTAACCCACAGCACCACACCAGGACTCCAGTCTAGCTATGTTGTTGTTGTTGTTGTTGTTATGTGCCGTGGAGTCGGTTCCGACTCATAGCGACCCTGTACAGGGTTTCTGAGGCTGGAAATCTTTATGGGAGCAGAAAACCTCCTCTTTCTCCCGCGGAACAGCTGGTAGTTTCGAACTGCTGACCTTGCGGCTCGCAGCCCATTCATAACCACTGCGCTACGGGGTAAAAAAAACCTGTCTATTGAAATGAATATCACATGCACTTTTACCTTTTTGAGTGAGGCTACTAGGAATCCTGGTATGGTGCTATGGGCTAATGCATCAGACTGCAACTTTGTTTGAACTGCAAGGTCAGTGGTTCAAGCTCACCAGCGGCTCCTTAGAAACCCTATCAAGGTTGCTATGGGTCGGAATTGACTTGACAGCACTTAATAACAACAACAACTATTATAAGATTTTAAATGACCTCCGTGGCTTCTTCCTCACCCTTGGTCTCCTTCCTAACCCACCCTGTTGAGCGGCCTGGGTTTCTGAAGGTTGCGCTATGTGGGTTTCTATGTTTCCCTCCTCCCTGACTTCTAAGAGAGTTTGTGGAGATTTCTGCAGATGAGTTATTATGCTTCTGGGCTCTGGGATCACTCCAGAAATGAGAGGAGGCAGGGAAAAGAGGTATGTAGGGATGACCAGAAGGGGCTCTGGTGATGCAGTGGTTAAAGTGCTTGACTGCTAACAGAGAGACAGTGATTTGAGCCTGCTACCTGCTCTGAGGGAGAAAAATAAAATCTTTCTGAAGGAGGAAGAAGGAAGACGGTGGTGGGAACCGAAGTCCAGACCAACTTTTATGAACTTCGGGGGCGCTCTTCCCACCTTCCCCTCCAAGCAGAACTTACATGTGCTGCTTGGACTTGCGTGTGTTGTAGAAGCTGGACACCCCCCAACCCCGCTCTATTTTCTACTACATTTACCTCTGCTTGGCCCAGCTTCTGTACCTGTAAAATAGAAGCTCCACTATCCTTTGTGTGCACCAGGACTTTGGCCTTTAGAATGCTTTTAACCCTTGGCGATGGGGATGGGAGGAGGGCCAAACCCATACTTAGCTCTTAGATACCTTCCAGCAGATTTGTGGGATGTCCACTGAAGGAGCTGCCCTCTTTTTCAGATTAGTAACAGGGCTGCTCTGGCTCTGCTCCTGGGCTGTGTGTCTTTAGCATGGTGCCCTCACAAAGATGAATTTGATTCAGTTCAGTTTTGGTCTTACCCCCGTGTAGAATGTTTGTTGTTGTTGTTAGGTGCCATTGAGTTGGTACCGACTCATAGCAACTTTATGCAGAGCAGAGCGAATGTAGCCCCTTAAAAATTGGCCTTGCTACCTTCCTCTTGACCTCATTCTTTCTGTGACTCCAGAGCATCCTAGTGTTCACAGATGGGGAAACTGAGGCACAAAGATGACCCAGAGACCCACTTCTCAGGGAATGTCCTTTTGTCATCCTCTCTGTGTACTGTAGGGAACCTGTGGGTTCTCAAGCCTGCGAGAGACTCCCTCCTCTTAAGTCTATGAGTTCAGCGCTGCCCCTGGTTCTGGGAAACTGGGTGGGTCAGACTGGGGGCCAGTGCTGATTGGTATTTCTTAGTTGGAGTATGTGGTGTCTCTGTTTACTTTATAGACTTTGAGGAACTTAGGGCAGAAGGAATCTTCATTGGCTACCAGTGTACCCTGAACGTTAAACATGACAAAATTGGGTTGGGGCGAGGTGACACCTGGTTTGGATAGAGCTGGAGCCTGGAGCTTTGGTGTCCCCTTTCCTAGAGAGCCTAGCTCTCACTTCCCCCACAGCTGGGCCGGGCAGGGGTGAGGGACCACGGCTTCAAACACCTGAGCTGTATGGTCTCTATGGGAAGAGAGTGGGGTGATTCCTGTTGCTCTGCAGAAATGGGGGCATGAGACAGACAAGTCGGTTGCCAAGAATATCAGGATGGAGGATGGGCAGCAGCTCAGAGAGCCGGCTGGGCCACCTGTGAGAGCAGTGAGGTCCATGCCGTGTCCCAGGATGCTGTGTGGTGAGGACAGGCAGGAGGACCTCCCGCATTGACCCTGGAGACCCCTCAAATTCTACACTGTAAATAGCCCTGTGGTCGGCCTAGTGGAGGGCTCAGGAGGGTCTCTGACTTGGGTGGAAACCCGGGGATGGCAAGGCTGTTCTAGGAGCAGCTGCTGAGGTGATCTTGCTGTTGCTCCCATGGCCAGCCCCTTCTGTAGAGGAGACCCTCGACAGAGCTCAGCTTGGAGGAGGAAGGGTGGCCAACAGAAGGCTCCTACCCCCTCCATGAGTGTTGGCAGTTCTAAACCCAAAAGGGAAAAGGACACAAAGGCTCTGTGAGGACAAAGCAGAGCTTCTCCATTTAGTACTGTCTCCCGTGGAGCCTGGGCAAGATCCTGGGATCTGCAGCTCCGTGGGGACCGGCCCCTTAGGAGGCACGTGCCTCTTTCAGGAGCCTGGGTCCCTGCCAGGTGGGGACTCTTGGCAGATGTGATGGTTCCTGCTTTTGTTTGGGTGTTCCCTCCCCTCCTCATCTTTGGGGGCTCAGGCTCCCGGGACCAGCTTGGGCTCCATTCCTCCCTCTCATGGTCTGACTTAACTCTGAAAAGAAAACTTTAATCTCCCTCTTTATGGGCCCACATTGGGGACTGGGGGTCCTGGGGCTTACAGGAGAGATGGAGGGCCCAGGAAGGGGGTGGAGAGTGAATGCTCTCTTGCTTCTTCCTCCTCCATCTCTCCTGCATATCTGCAGGCTGTTTCTGTCTCCTATCCAGCAGCTTTTATATAATTATACCTTTTATAATTTTCCTTTTGAATAAAACATTCAGAGGGCCTACTTCATGATTTGGGGAGCCCTTTAACTGCCAAGGGAGAGGTAGATCTCTCTGGCTCCTCCTCTCCCTGGAGGCTGTTCTCCACCCAGACATCAAAGCTTTTCAGAATGGCCGGGACTATGCTGGGTCACTCTGGAGTCTGCTCCCTGAACTGACCTTGGACATTCGGGTAGGCTGGGGATGTAGGCACTGTCGAAAGGTCTGACTTCCCTTAAGCAAGTCTAGTGTGTGAAAATCTGTATATTCATTTTAAAAATATATTTTCTACAAAAAAAAATTAAGTACAAAATCTGAACTGGGTTAGCAACTAATGCATTGCGCTCTACTTCCTCATCTGTTGTTTCTTGTCTAGCTGTATACTCTTTATTTCTCACAGCTTTGACCCCCTTGTGTAAAACTGGGCTGTTGATCCCTGCTCTATATCACCAGGTGAAGGTGGAGACCATATGGAATGATTCCTTTTGGCGAACCCACTATGGCTTTGCTCTAAGATGTCTGTGTTCTGGTGCATTAAACTAGCATTGGATTCAAAGATAGTCTTGCTTGTGCTCAACTTCTTA